CGTGCACGTCGCCAAGACGAGCGGCGAGATCTACGACCGCGCGGCTCATACACGCCATCGAGACGGTCGTCATCGACTGGACGCACCAGATACGAGACGTGCTCAAGCGCGACTCGTCTCAGCCGCTGCTCGAGCGGTCTCGACCCAGGTCGCCACGTCGAGGTCGAGTTCTGGAAGGCCAAGTGTAAGAACCTGCAGTGCATCTACGAGCAGCTGCGCCGCCCAAGGTGCGCAGATGGCCGAGCTGCTGAACACGATGCAGAGCAGTTACTTCCCGTCGTTCAGGAGCATGTTCCGCGACGTCGTCGGCGCGCTAGCCGAGGCGCAGGACGTCAGTCTCTACCTGACGCCGCTCGCGAGACACTTTGACGACCTCGAGGCAGGCGGACTTTGCCGACGTCGTGCCGCTGGCTGCGTCGATGATGCCACGTCATCTGTCTCGTGTGGAGTCGCTCGCGTTACTACTGCACGCCGGGACGCGTCGTCGTGCTGCTGCAGGAGATATGCAACCTGCTCATCGCGCAGGCGCGCGCGTACCTCGATCCGCCGAGATCTTCAAGGGCGAGATCGACGAGAGGCTTGCAGAAGGTGACGACGTGCCTCGCGATATTCGCCGCGTTCGCGGCGACGTACGACGAACACAAGGCCGCCATCGCGACCTACTTCGGCGACGATCGGCCGGCGAAGACGTGGAGTTTGCTCCCGCGCTCACTTTCACGCGCATGGACAAGTTCACCGAGCGACTGCAGACGATCCGCATCCTCTTCGAGACGGCGCAGGAGTCATGAAGCGGAGAAGGTGGAGATGGGCGGCATCAAGGGTCGCAGTCTCGGTGCGCAGGTCGTCTGCATCTTCGAGGAGTTTCAGGGCCACTACGCCGGCTTCGCGGCTGCCACGTACGACGCTCTCGACCCGCTCTGCCGGGAGTTCATCGACGACTACTCCATCTTCATGAACCACATCTACGACCTCGACCGCCGCCTCGGATCCATCATCTGCCAGGGATACGACGACTGCACCGGCACGAGGGCGTCTTCAGATGCTCACTTGTTTCGGCACGCTGCTCGACCGGCCAATCATCAAGGAGGAGTTCGAGGCGAAGTACCAGCTGCTGATGCGGACGATCGACGGAAGACCTCGACACGGCGAAGCTCATCTACGACGAACACATGAGTCTCGCCAAGAAAGTCGGGCGCCCATCAACAGAAACATGCCGCCGCGTCGCCGGCGCCCTCAAGTGGGCGTCGCGAGCTGCGCGGAGCGAATCACGGCGCCCGTCGCTAGCTTCCGCGCTCCTCGAGCACGCGGTGGCGGCGAGCCGCGGACGACTCGTCTACCACAAGTGCGACGAGATGCTGGCGCTGGCTCGCCGCGTACGAGACGCGGGTGTACAGCGAGTGGGCGGGAGCCGTCGGCGACAAGGCGGAGTTCAACCTGCAGCGCCGCTCGTGACGCGCAACGCCGACACCCGCCTCGTCGCCGTGAACTTTGACCCTCAGCTGGTCGCCGTGCTGCGCGAGGTCAAGTACCTCGAGGGCATGAAGCGGACGGACATCCCCGAGGGAGCCGCGACGCTCTAACAAGCGAAACGGCGAGCTCTACCAGTACGTCGCCAACCTGAACCTGACCGTCGCGCTGTACAACAAGATCGCGCAGACGACGCTGGCCCGTAGAGTTCCAGCTGGTGCTGAGCGAGCTAGAAGCCATCGACCAGCTGCTGCCAGCAGGCGGAGGGCGAGCTGAACTGGAACAGTGCCAACCTGTGGGACTACATCCAGGACGTGCAGGCGCAGGTGCGCGGCCTCGAGTCGCGGCTGCAGCAGGCCAAGGACAACGTGGTGTGCGTGCACACCGTCATGGCGACGTGGTGCGCCAGCCGCTGTTCGAGAAGAAGGAGAAGAAGCGCGATTCGCTGCTGAGCCTCGACGACCGGCAGGAGCGGGCGGCGGCGTAACGCTGACGTCGCGGCGGCCGGGAGCGCATCAACGCGCTGCTAGCGGGAGAACGCCCGCGCTGTACCGCGCCGACACCGCCGTCGCAGGACTGGCAGCGATACGTGGAACACGTCGACGAGATCATCACCGACGGATTCTTCGTGCGATTCACTGCAGCATGAGTTACCTGCTGACAACACCGACCACGAGCAGCCGCTGACGCCGCTGTTTGAGGCGCAGCTGGAGCTGCAGGCTCCCGAACTCGTCTTCTCTCCGTCGCTCGTGTACGGTGCGAACACAGCTTTTACGCGATCATCGACGACCTGCTGCGCGACGTGTTCGCGATGGCTTCCTACATCGCGCGCGTCGCTCGCCACCTCGGCCACGACAACTACCAGATGGAGCTGGAGGACATGGAGGAGTTATCAGACATGCAGACAGGAGGTGATCGATCGCGTGCAGAGCAGCCGTAGGCAAGGCCACTCGACTTCCGAAACTCGTTCGACAACTACTCGTACCTGTGGGTGAGGATCGCCGCAGAGTTCATGCGCCAGTTCCTCCTCTATGGACACGTCATCACGCCCGAGGAGCTGGAGAACGCCCCGAGGAGGGCGTACCGGAGAACCCTCCACAGCTGTCGCAATTCAAGGAGCAGATCGACTCGTACGAGGCCATCTACACGGAGGTGGAAGGCATCGACAACACGGCGCGTGTTCGACGGCTGGTTCCGCCTCGACATCCGTCCGTTCAAGCAGGCCCTGCTGAACGTCATCAAAGCGCTGGAGCCTCATGTTCAAAGGCAGCACCTTTGTCGACCACGGTCACGCAGAGTCTCACGGGCCTGCAGGAGTTCATCCGGTGCTAACGCCGGGCGACGCTACACGTCGAGGAGCGGCGACTACGCAGGAATGGTCGACGTCATGGGTCACCTGATGCGCTCGTGCGCGACCGCAGCGCACCGAGAGAGATGTTCGAACCGCTCAAACACACCATCGAACTGCTCAGTTCCTACAACCAGGAACTGTCCGACGACGTTCACTCGCAGCTGCACGAACTCCCCGAACAGTGGAACAACACGAAGAAGATCGCCGTCACCATCAGCAGCATATGCGCGCCGCTGCAGGCGAACGAGGTCGCCATCTTGCGGACGCAGAGCGCAAACTTCGACGTCGGCAGCACGAGTTCCGCGAGAAATACCGCGTGAACGCGATCTTCCGCTACGACTGCGGCGACACGTACCCGCGGCTCGACCGCGCGCGCACGCTGAGATCACAGGCGATGGAGGGAGAGATGGCCGCGCTCGCAGAGTCGGCGAGTCTCTTCGAGGTCAACCTGCCTGAGTTCCAAGCAGCTGAAGCAGTGCCGGCGGGAGCTGCGCGCTCCTCAAGCTGCTCTGGGACTACGTCATGTCGTGCGCAGCAGCATCGACGACTGGAAACGACGCTGTGGCAGACATCGACGTCGAACAGATGGAGATGGACTGCCAAGAAGTTTGCGAAGGACATCGCGGGCTGGACAAGGAGTGCGCGCGTGGACGCGTACGGCGGGCTCGAGGACACCGTCAAGAACATGCTGACGTCGCTGCGCCGCGGTCGGCGAGCTGCAGAACCGGCCGATCCGAGCGTCACTGGCAGGAGCTGATGCACGCGGCGAAAGTGTGAAGTTTGTGATGAGCGACAAGACGAATCTGTCCGACCTTTCTCGCGTCAACCTGCACAACTTTGAGGACGAGGTTCGCGCATCGTCGACAAGTCCGTCAAGGAGATGGCGATGGAGAAGACGCTCAAGGACTGGACGTGACGTGGGCGAGCATGGAGTTTGAGCACGAGCTACACGCGCGCACCAAGTGTAAGCTGCTGCCGCTCAAGCGAGGAGCTCATCGAGACACTCGAAGACAACCAGGTGCAGCTACAGAACCCTCATGACGAGTAAGTACATCGGACACTTTCTCGAGGAAGTCTGCCGGCTGGCAGAAGAAGCTGTCCATGGCCGACCAGGTGATCAGCATCTGGTTCGAGGTTCAGCGTACCTGGTCTCACCTGGAAAGCATCTTCATCGGATCCGAGGACATCGCTGCCAGCTTCAGAGGATTCGAAACGCTTCGACAGCGTCACGCCGAGTTCAAGGAACTTCTGTGCGCGATGGAGAACACGACGAAACGTCGTCGCGGAACGAACCGCCGACGACTGTTCGAGAAGCTCGAGTACTTCAGAGCCAGCTGACGCTGTGTTGAGAAGGCCCTCGCGAGTACCTCGAGACAAAGCGCCTCGCGTCCCGCGATTCTACTTTGTGTCGTCTGCGACCTTGCCTCGACATTCTCTCTACGGCACCAGCCCGAGCTGGTAGCTAAGCACCTGAGCAAGCTCGTTTGACAGCATGGCGAGGCTGAAGTTCCTGAGGACGAGGATGGCAACCTGACGAAGACCGCGCTCGGGATGTACAGCAAGGAGGACGAGTACGTGGAGTTTGATCGGCCGTGCAGTGCACGGGTCAGGTCGAGGCGTGGTCGAACCGCCTCATGCGAGCATGTGCTCGACCGTGCGTCCACTACATGGCAGACGGCGGCGTGCACTTACGAGGAGAAACCTCGCGACAATGGCTGTTCGACTACATGGCACAGGGCGCTGTGCGGCACGCAGATCTGGTGGACGACTGGAGGTGGGCATCGCGTCTCGGTCCGGCTGGAGGAAGGCCTACGAGAACGCACTGAAGGATTACTACAAAAACAGGTGAAATTCCCC